GTTTGTCTACCAACATTATGTTTTTGTTGACTTACTTACTGCAATAAAAACCAATTATTATTAACATTTAAGAGTATAACAAACTGATGTCTTACTTGTTGAAAACTAAAATTGTCAGGATAAAATCATCTTACCGATGGTAACAATATGTTTATATAATGCTCGAATCATTGACGGAAAAGTACCCACTATTAGTAGTACCCTACGTATACTTCAAATCTTCGAATTCTGAGTTTCTAGGACAATAAACTCATAGCCTTCCGTTGTTAGAAGATTGAAATATCTTTCGATCGGAAAATACCACGTACCAAAATTCCTCCCCAGCAGCGCATTTTTTTAACCTAGCTTTTCAATTTGAGCTGTTCGAAGAGATCCTGGAAACAATGTTTCTTCTCGTGCTTTTACAGCGGTTAGAAAAGGATTTTGATGGATATATTCTACAAACGAATTGTTTTTATTTTCACTAGAGATCTTCCCTACACCCTGTCTGAAATGTTGTAAAGTAATCCTTTTTGTTCATTCTAATAACTAATACTAATTACCTTCTTAAGACTCTTAATTATTATACCACAATTGTCATTATTACCCTCAATTTTACATTTTTTATCTCTTGGTAGGTTACCTATTAGATTTAATTTCTGGGTATCCGTGTTTCTCCTACAATTCGTTTTTAATTACTCGTTCAATGTCCTTAATACGTTTATTTAGTTGTTCTTATTCTGGCTAATAATATCTTTTTTCTACGCCTATGGAATAATATGTCAATTATTAACGCCTTTTCTTTAAATAATAGTGTACTGTGAATGCTTGTGTAAAGCAGCTCAGGAGAGAGAAAAAATGGATTGTCGGCTCACTTCTAAGTCTTACCTTGTAAAATAAGATTGCTACTCCCAAAATCCTTTCCTTGATGAGTCCCGGCCGGGAACAGAAATGTTCCTTGAATGATTAGTCGGGTAACACGTCACTCCCGTTAATTTGGTTTTTCTTTTGTGCGTTGAAACGTCCGTGAGGACCGCGTGTTTGAATTTTTAATATTATTGTGCTGACAATTGAATCGGTACTGACTCGTAGCGGTCAGAGTATTGTTCGACGAGAAGGAAAAAAAACTTAGAAGATTAAATTCGCGATCAATAAGTACAAAATTAAAGGCATACAGAGTGACCCTTTGACCGAATTGGCTAAATAATAACGAATTAAAATTAAATATATAATGTAACGTAAATACATTGGCATGACATTATGCCATTATTAGAATATAAATTAAAGAAAACTGCATAAACCATTCATTGCATTTCATATTCCCAAAAAACAAATAAACAAAAAAAAATAATAATTCTATGGTAAAGTTGACGAAACAAATAGTAGTCATTATTTTTATCTGTTGGCTTATGAATCATAAGCCAACGGTATTTGACCAATTACAGGCCACGAATTTTCATAAGCCAACAGTTTTATTAGTTGCCCATGACAACGGAAAAGGCACCACAGTATTATTCCTGTACAACACTGCTTCTCAGTTGTCATTTGTAATTTTGTCACGCTTGACCAGCGCTTGACACTTCTGTCTCCGAAAGCTGAAAAAGTGTAAAAGTTTGTCTCAAAAACCTATAAATTGTCTAATCAAAACACAAATGGATGAAATGGACGATATTAACAGCGACGAAGAAAATTATACCCCACCGGATATCGTAGAAGCAGCGAAAATAACATCGGTAGACTTGCTACCTAAAAAATCGCGAAATCTTTACGAAAAAGCGTATAAAGCTTTTATGGATTGGCGAGACCGCAAAAAACTACCTCGTTTTCCGAAAACGTGTTACTAGCCTACTTTGGAGAGCTAGCAGAAAAATACAAATCTTCGTCCCTCTGGACTCAATATTCGATGTTGCGAACGACACTAGAGGTACGACAAAACATAAATATAGCAACTTACGGAAAGTTAAAAACTTTTCTTAAACGCAAATCTGATGGCTATAAGGCGAAAAAGTCCAAAACATTTACTCCAGATGAAATAAATATGTTCATTGAAAATGCAGATGATAAAAAATATCTTGCAACAAAGGTAGGAATTAATAAATAAACATAATTATAACAATTTTAGAGACTGTCTATTTGTCCGAGCGCTCGGATATGAATAGTAGATTGCGCTAAATATCCGGGCATTGAGTCATCATTCGTTGTTCTTAATCCTGTAACACAAGTAGACGGGTATCGTGTGGCGTGGTCCAGTGGACTGGGCATCGAGCTGTAGATCGATAGGTCCTAGGTTCAATTCCGGGACTTGGCAGTTTTTTTTTTATTTTATTTTTCTTTTTATGTTCTTTTAAGTATTTATATTTTTTGTTCGAGAATATTGTTCCACAGGTTAGTTCAAGTTCCACCCAAAAAAGTTGGTTTCGTTTAAAAAAAAAAGATTAAAAATTCTACCAATGGTAAAATTTATGTTGGAGTATATTGATCCACCGGTTAGTTTTGAAATTTAAAGTTCTGTCTGATTTTACTTAAGAAAAATAATAAAATAAAAACGGTTGAAAGTAGATATTTCAATTATTTTTTACGCCCGGATATATAGCTCAATCTATTATTTGTCCGAGCGCCCGGACGAATAGACAGTCCCATAATTTTAAACATTGAAGTTGTTAATCCATTTTACTAATTTTGCCATTGATTTTTGTTTCAGGTAGCATTAATTCTTGGTGTAATGGGTGCCTGTCGTTGTCACGAATTAAGAAATATGAATATTGAGCATATTGAAGTTTTTAATACATCCATGCTAATTACTGTGCCCAACACAAAAACAAAAGTCGTTAGAAAGTTCACCGTAACAGGAAAATTTTGTGAAATGGTTAAAAAATATATTGATTTGCGTCCCCCCACAGTTGCCTCGCCGTCTCTCTTTTTGAATTATCAAAATGGGAAATGCTCTGTCCAAAATATAGGAATTAACAAATTCTCGGCAATGGGAAAACAAATTGCCAATTATTTAAATCTGCCCAACCCCGAAATGTATACAGGACACAGTTTCAGGAGATCGTCTGCCACAATAATAGTAGAGCCAACATGACTGCATTAAAAAGACATGGGGGGTGGAAGTCCGCAACGGTGGCGGAGGGATACATCAACGACTCCTTAAATAATAAAATGACAACTGCCCAAAAAATACTTCACTCAATACAAAGCAAATCCACTATTACCACCACCGAGACTATAACCAAGGTCAATGAAAATAAAAAAATGGATGTGGCCACCGCATCACTTACTATTCAGAACTGCCAGAATTTCACAATAAATATTCACCAACATAATCCGTTAATTGATAAATAATCATTTTATTATCTATGTTATTAAAAGTTAATATGAATTAATGTAAAATGGTTTATTTGAGTAAATTTAATTTAATCTGCATTTTAATTATTTCATAGGCGTAGAAAAAGTATAGTATTATACTCTTCTTTGACACACTGCACCTAGCTGAGCCAACCAACCCAATTATTTTTCATTCATAATTTCTCTCACGGGGCCTTTATTTTTACATTTTTTTAAAATACATCGTTCCTAATCTTCTTTATTTTTACCTCATACTTTTATTGATTGATTTTGACTTGCTTGTATTTTAATATTTCTTAAATAAATTGACGCGTCTTGAACACATATGCCATATATTTTCCAAAAAGTATGTAGGTACTTACCCGTGAAACAAATGACTTACTAACTAAATTTTACCACTTAATCAGATAAAGTCGTTTTAACTACATGAACGCCTTAAAAATTAACCATAATTAAGTGATTCTAGACAGTCCTAAGTGTATATAAATTCAAGCGAAATTGAGTTTGAAATGGGTGATACACCAGCTGGCTGTTATATTTTTCATCTAATGGGCAACAAATTATAACATGCAATATATTAAAACTGTTTGAAATTAGTGCCTTCCGCGTTTTGATTCACATGTACGATCGTAAAGCCAGTTAAACCTGGGACTAAGATACGAGTAAATATCGAGTTTATTCCAAACGACATTATTTATAATGAATCGTTTTGTTCGTAGTCGTCTTAATAATATACGGGGTATCCGGAAAGGCAAGGAATATAGCTCATCAAGAGCGTCCTAAAGCTTAATTTATAACCGCCGTAACGTAACTTAAGAACTTAACGTAAGAAGTTGAAATATTGAATTTACGTATACTTATTTATAAATATTCGTAACGTAACTTAAGAACTTAACGTACCGTAGAAAGTTCGCTAACTTTTAACTTAACAACTTAAGACCTTACGGTCAGCCAAAGAGATAATTCTGAGTTCAGCATGTGATAACTGTCAATTATTCTTTTTATTTTTTTTTTGTTAATGAATGGACAAATACCATTTGTAAACAATTATTCTCTTTTTTTATGGACATACATTATCATGTATGATTTGTGTTTATGTTATTGGGGATAAACTATTTATAAGATATGAGTGTTGCTGCATATACTTAGTTTGCTAGGAAAGATTAAATTCTCATTATTGCTGAAAAACAATCAACATCTTTGGTAAACTATTCTGTTTTATTATATTTTTATATTATTGCTTTTAAAATAGTTAATATATTCTTTCTATATAGCAAAATCATAATTTAAATGTTTTATTTGGAGGTTAGGTACATAGTTTACACTTGTTTATTTCATAAGGTTGTCAGTAATTTGATAATCTCCGAAATACAACACGCATGCTCAACTGTTACGTTACGGACATTTATGAATAGACTTTATTTTTATATCTTACGTTAAGTTTCAACGGCGTTAAGTTACGTTACGGTGGTTATAAATTATACTTAAGGTACAATGGCAACCATTAGACCAAACACACCGCAACAAATTAACCTAGGAAAAGCTTTGTATTGAGTCCCCTACCTATAAGGCCTCTATTGCATTCGTGCTGACGACAAAATTTTCCCTCTCTTTTTAATAATGTTGTTCACGTTTCCGAAAACTCAGTGAAAATTTAAAAAAAGTACTTGTCTGGCCGTCTCTATCTTATGCCATTACAGCGATCGGGAGTTTGAATTGTTAACACATTTTTTCTATTTTATTTATTTTTGTTCAATTCTTGTACTATTTTTCCACTTTTTGCGCTGTTACGTTTATTCTAACTTCTAGGTTTTTTCTTGATCTCTCTCATTTTCTCTTTCCATACCTTTTTGATTCCGCTACCTTTTTGGTGTCATTCTTTGTACGTGGGCAAACCAGTTCAGTTGTTTTGCCTCTATTAGTTGACTGATCGAATTTTGATTGATGTTGTCTCTGATTCTTTTTTCTCCATCTATCTGTTCTTATTTTCCTATCCATTTTTTTTTTTTTATTTTGACGACCGATAGATAATTTGTCACTTCCATTTGTTAGGCGTGAAACCATTATTGCCTTGTGTATTCTGTTTTGTTGTTGTTGTTGTTGTTGTTGTTGTTGTTGTTGTTGTTGTTGTTGTTGTTGTTGTTGTTGTTGTTGTTGTTGTTTCTTCATTTCCGAGTAAGTAGTGTTCTGTTTACTTGGTACTAAATTTGTATTGATTTTTGTTTTCTGTTTAATATCTTCGTCAGCTTTTACTTTATTCCTAAGTAGTCTTTTGCTGTAATTTTCTCTTGCGTATCATTTCCGTATTTAATAGTTTCTTACAACACCGAGTGTAACAACGATAACTTGAACCCCCAGAAAATTAGAAACAAAAAAGTTTTTCAAAATTTAAAAGAACATGTCAACTTTTATTGACAAGGGGACTGACTATGAAGACTAGAGATAAGGAGACGAATCGGCATACTCCAAATACGGTCCCAAAAAACGCATGCTAATTGAACTTCTATAACTAACCGCATGGGCGCTGGTACTGCATACGTTGTTCAAAATACATGGCTTCTTATGGGAATTATACATAATTTTGTCAAAATAATAAAAATAAACTGGTTTTCAGCTAAATAAAGCACACAACATACTGTTGAATTTATTTCTAAATAAGTCTTGCATGTTTTAATTGATAAATTATTTAATTTTATCTATATAAAATAAACATTAGGTATGTATGACCAAATTCAAAAAGGTTTCTTAATTGCTGATAAGTACAATTTTGTGGCAATTTTTTTTTTAATTGAACCAATATATAGTTTTAAGAGTAAAATAAAACACAGTTAACAGATTTTTTATTGTTGTAATACAAGTATAAAGGGAGATTTGGGAATGTAAATGGTATTACCTCATCCTTTAATTTCAGCTTTCTCCTTTTTATTTTGCTAACAGTATAATCAGTAAAAATAGTCTCATAATATTTGATATCTTCTAAAAAGTATAGAACAGCATCATCTCTAGAAAGTGCTTTATTAGCACTAGGAACGATATATATGCTACCACTGTTCTAAACGTTTAGTATCCTATAAAAAACATTTACAATGACACAATTGGGGTCAAAAAAAAAAACAGTAGCAACTCTTTATCTAACATTAAAACTCTATAAAAAATAAATTTTCTTTTCTAGTAAGTTAAATTTAATGCATAATTATTGTTGTTTGTAAATCAGCATCCTGTAAAATTTTATATTATAGAAACTTATAATAAAATAAACTACACTTCGTAAGATACATATTGTGACTAGCTTGCAATAAATATTATATTTAGACATGAATACATTATTTTACTTATTTTAAAAGCTTTAAAAAGACATTGAATTGATTTCTTCTTGTGTTTTCTTTAGTTTTACATTTGATTTTTATCCTGTTTTACAATCTGAAACGACGTAAATCTTTCTTTGATGTTTTTTGTCACTCATGTTACTTGTACTCAGGTACTTTTTTTCACATTATTTTGATTCTTTTCATCAATTTTTTTAAAAAATCACTAGTCTTCATAGGACTGACTAATTGAATAAAATTCATATTTAGAAATCCAACCCCCTGGAGCACGACAGCAACCTCCTATATTTTAAATAGCAAGTATGTTTAAGGCATCATCATTTGAAATGTAATTTATGAATAATTCAGCGATATGCCATTACCATTGCCATTACTTTATATTTTAGCGATCTCTAGCGCGATAAAAAACTATTACGTATCACAATTAAATATCTAATTTCATTAGTAATTGAATGTACAATAATAACAAAACATAATTTAATAGGAAAATTTACATTACAAACTAAAAGATTTGCGGGGTAACGGTAGTTTAGTAAGTATAAAAATTACAACTTAAGGGTGGATACTAAATACTACAAAATTGCTTCAGAGACTGTACAACATCAGCATTCATTCAAAATTTGTAAAGATGACTCTTGTATAATGATAATATTAATATTTAAAGGTTTTAAATAAGGGCATAAAGATATCACAGTTCGAAATTCCTTTTATTGACCATAATACTTTTTTGGAATGAAAGTATTAGTTCCTGTTTTTCAGTTCATCTCCATAAATCAATTCATATTTTAATCTGAACTGTATTTAAGTGCAGTAAAGTTGCAACAACTAAACAATATAATCAATTTTTAAAATGAAATTCAATTTATATTTAGAATTAAATAATTTAGCTAAAATTTTTGTTAAAGTAATAAATAATTACGTTACAAAGATTCATATGTGAATTTTCAATTTCTGTTGGCAACCCTGTGTAGTAAAACTTCTATCCGAATCAGAATCTTGATATTATTGTTTGTGAACTTAAAAACGTGGTTAACTAGTCAAAATATTTGGTATAATAATTATATATCATCAATTGCCACTGCCACTGGTAAAATTTAAAATAGTATTATAATGATAAGAAACTAAACATATTGTTACACTGGTTTTTGGTATCACAATTTATTTCAATTCAACTTTACAATAACTCAATTCAACTTTAACAATAACGATACAACTGATAATATTAACATGTAACGTCTATCATCAAACTGCCCTCCGACGTCAGGTCGTCGACTTATATAGCTTGCCTCGACCTTCTCTAACCTTCTCGAACAATCCGGACTTTTCTTTGACAAGGAATGACATTTCGAGACATTTCTGGATTATTCTATCTTCTTTATTTACTCGTACCTTTACTTATGACGACCGCAGCACGCTACAGGGTGCTGCGTAACAATATTTTAAATGGATCGCTTACTACCATGTTTCAGAAATAAATAAACTCTTACATAATTAATAAACTTATTCCAAATAATTTAAGATTCCTTGCGTCATGTTAATAAAAATCAAACAAAATTTCTCACCATTTATTTGATATTCTGTCCCGTACTTCCATGTAATAGCTCTGCTGTCAACTAGTTCTGGTAAGGCATAGTGAATATAAATATTTTGAATTTTATTTCTTTTCTTCCCAAAAGCTGTCATTATGAGGAATTTTCTCCACTTTTATTCGAGGAGTTCAAACGCACAAAATGCAAAAATCCGTTTGTGTAATGTGCAGCTAACCCTGAATTTGAAAATACCAATTTGTGGTTCTACTTAATGTTATTGTCCTTTTCCCAAAAAGTTATTTCTCTACTGCATATTTTTCTTCTGCAGTCAGCACTCTAGAACCATAGAGTTTTGTTTTTTTGTCTTAAATTCCATCCGGACTGGCAGCAACATAATTAAATTTGAAATCAATAAAAAGTCCACATTTAAAAACTTTTTCTTGCAAATAAATTTCCAAATCTTATTTTGCTCTGGATTTATTGTCCATGCCATAGTGGGTAGAATACGTTTCGTTTTTTTACAAATGTCTCCAAATTTTGAAGTAGTGACACGTTTCCGTCTTTCATTGTGTCCCAATACACTAATCCTCTTGATCTCGTGTCGCATTCGTTTTTTTCTCATCTATGGACATTGGCAAACTTTTTAGAAAATCTTCTTTTGTAACGCCTTTCAAAGAGTGCGACAGATCAAAGCCGCGCGCGAAAGCAAGAAAAATGATTTACTTTGTTCGAAAAAAATATACATTACTTTAACAGATTAAAGAGTTGTTACATGCTGGAATTAATTATTGTTTACTCGAAGATTATTCATTAAAAAAAACTGTGGTGCAATATAAAAGTTAATTTATAATTCACATCTCACTGTATACCTTTTAATTTCGAATATATTTTTTTAATAAATAAATTATATAATTAATTTAAAATAATTTAGCGAAATTACTGTATGTAAAAAATAATAAAGAGTACAGACATAAAACAAAAACAAAATCAAATCACTTGCGTACTGTTTATCACTTGTAAATAGTAGAAAAGGATATACATTTTGTTGGTGTCACTTTCTAGATAAAAAAGCTTTTAACGTATTTTTTTTATTGTGAGAAAAATAATGCTCCTGTAGGTAAAAATTAATTATATTGTTCCCTTCTAGCATTTTTATTTGTTTTCATTAAAAATTTATTTGTTTTCATTAAAAAGGCATATTTTAAGATTTTTTTTTCTTTTCAAAAGAAACTGGTTTACATTTTCAAAAAGTGACTCCAGAGGGGTACGGGTTGAGCCTTTACCTGTACTCACATAATTTTTCTTGTAGTAAAAATAAAAATTAATCCATACTATGAAACTCTTGCATATTATATATGTCGATATTAGTATTAAAGAAATGATTTACGTAAAACAATAAACTGTGATGCTAAAATGTTCACACATATTATTAAACAGGTTGGTAACCTGGTCTGAAACTAACAATATTCTGCCGGAATCACAAGCCGGTTTCCGACCGGGGTATGGTTGCATTGATAATGTGTATACGTTAACCTCTGTAATTCAACAGCATGATATTAGATTAAAAAAGCGGAAAATGTTTGCAATATTTGTTGATTTCAAACGTGCTTTTGATTCCGTCAATCACTCCTTGCTCTGGCTCAAGCTGTTTAATTTAGGTGTTAGTTCTAGAATTATAACTGTAATACGCAAAATGTATGAGAATGCGGAATTCCGTATTAAATGTTCTGATGGATTTTCTAAATCCTTTGAGCTCACATCTGGTGTTTTACAAGGCGAATCACTTAGTCCTCTACTTTTTGCTCTATTTATTTCAGACATTGATAACTTCTTTGCAACTAGAGGCGCTAAAGGTGTTAATATTGACAACAAAAATGATGATACTCTCTTGTTATACGCTGACGACCTTGTTATACTCGCAGATTCAGAGGTGGATGTTGGCAGAAAATTACAATTATTGGAAGAATACACCTTAGTAAACCATTTAACAATTAACATTGACAAAACAAAAATTATGCAATTTTCTAAAGGTGTTTTTAGATCTTTGGATTCTCATTTCCACCTAGAGAATAAAACTGTAGCATTAACCAACAATTATATTTACTTAGGTGTTACCCTAACATCCTCTTCTTTATTTTGTGAGATGGCAAATGTAACTACTAACAAATCTAAGCAAGCAAGTGGTGCAATCATTCCAATAATGGCAAAAGCCAAAGTAGGTACTTGGTACCCAAGAATTAAATTATTTGGGTCCTTGGTTATAAGCACAATGACAAACAGCATTCCTGTTTGGGGTTTAAGATATAGTGACATACTTGAGCGTGTACAAACCAACTTTTTAAAAAGAATTTTATCTGTGCCAA